GTGAAGAAAGCAATGACAGCTCCATTGATAGTGAAGATGGGATTGAGCAAGAAATCAGGAAATTTCTCGAGCAGAAGGCCCAAGTGCACAAACAGGCACCCAGCTCTGCTGTGACTCAAGACGCTCAGGGTACAAATGAAATGGAGAAGGTAAAAGCAAATGAACCACAGATCGAAAAGAAACCATCGAAACTGTCTTTAAAGCAACGAAGAAAACACAAAGAGAAAAAGATTTGTGTTTCCACCATGGCAGGGGCAGAGGACAGCGTTAAAGAAACCGCCTCTAAGCCTTTACCTGACCATACAAAAGAATCAAAGCTCTTGGCATTGCCCCAGAGAAGTCAAACACACCCTGCCACTGGATTACACAAGTCAGACCAAAGTGGAGACAAAAGCAGCTCTCTTGACAGCGATGAGGACCTAGACACGGCGATAAAAGACCTTCTGAAAACGAAAAAGAAATCAAAGAAAAAGATGAGAGACTTAAAGCGGAAATCAAGGAAGTGCCTCAAAGACGAAGACCCGCTGTTAGGAAATGCATTTCAGACCAAAAAGTTACACATTGACTTTCTTTCCAAGTGTAGTGATTTGAAAAAGGTGCAGAAAAGTAAGAATGACAAGAAAGACAAGCCTGGGCTGGGGAAAAAGAGCATTTCACAACATAAGCAAGTTTATAAAGGTAAGAATCACGAGCTGCATGAAGGTGAAACGGAGATCCTGAAGGGAGCTGAGCATCCAGGCATCCAGTTTGTGCACACTGCAGAAGCCGCACCTCAGATTAAGGAAGACAGCAGCTCAGTAGACAGCGATGACAGTATTGAGCAAGAGATCCGAAGATTTCTGGCTGAAAAGGCCAAGGTTTCTACCGCAGACAAAATTAAAGATGGAAATATAGCCAGGAATGGTACTGTCACTATTTGTAGCTCATTTCAAGATAAAGACATTAAACAGGAAAATCAGCTGGCTGAGATTCCAACGAAAAGTATCAGTCCTCTTTCTGAAAAGTCTCATATTAGTAGTCCAGCTCATAATAGACTTCAGACACCACAGACTGTTTTTCCAGACATCTCTGCGGTCGGTGCACAATCACATCCCTCAGCCGGATCCTGCAGTCCCAGTCTTTTGGAACCAGCAGATGGGGCAGGGGCAGCTAGAACTGAGGAAAGGAGACCGTATATTGATAAAGGTGATGTCCACAACGCCACCTCACAGACGAAGAGGGCTCGACCAATTTTGAGTCCTAGCGTCGCTCATTCTCGCTCAGAGGCAATCAAATGGCGCCAGAGCCTCGGACTACCTACTCACGACGCGAGGACTCTCAGTCGGACTCCGTTCCACATCACCTCATCTGAAATCAGCGAGGGTGGCTCGGTAACACATCAGAGTGGAGGAATGGCCCACAAATTACAGACCCCTGTTACTGTTTGGTCCTCTGCAAGGACCAGTAAATCACCATTCCCCTGTTCTAAAGACACTGCTGGAAATACTACATTCACATCTCCTGTTTTGAATTTTTTTTCTGCTGCCAGACAGCATCCGACGATGTCCTTTACACGGGATCTACCTGCCGGCCAGAGGTCCCAGTGCTCCATCGAAGGGGAGAAGGAGAGTACGGTGCATATGCCCAAGGACAAGAGTGTGTTTGTGGAACTGGAAGCTAATAGGACAAATCACGTCCAGGTTCAATGCAGGGAAAGAAGCGAGGTTAAGGAGAGAGCAAACTTACTAAGGGAGAAGAAGAGCGAAGGCGAGGGTATGAAGATAGATAATAAAGAAGTGCATCTAGGAAGAAAAGAGGAAGAGTTTATAGATGAGACAGATTGTGAATCAGGCCAGAAGAGAAATCCAGAAAAGAAGCAGGGCTTTTCCACATTGTAAGTATTTTTCTTTGACCACTATAAACCATAGTGTCATCATTTTCTGATTTCTCTAATGGTGTCCTGTCAAATATTATAGATTCTGATCGAGCTCATTGATTTATAAGGGAATGTTTATTGATTTATTTTTTTTTATCATAAAACTGACTTTTTTTTATGTATTTTTACAATTTCACAGTTGTGGAACCACAATGAAAACTTTATATGTGCTCATAAGTTATCTGTTGTTGATCGTTTGAAAAGCAATACAGTGACACTTTCGTGCAGAAACGAATGAGCGGTAGAAAATTACATGTTCCTAAATATTTTTGCTAAAAAACAAAAAAGAAGACGTGACAAGGAAAAGAAGTCTCAGTTTGGCAGAATAACGATTTAGGTTTGAGTCCAAAATGTTTAAATTTAGGTTGCATCTTTTCCCATCTTCCAGTAGGAAACCCAGAGCCCTGAATAGTTACATTAGTTACCTTATTAAGACTTTAAAAGTAATTTCCAACATCAAATTTAGGGATGGACCATTGAATAAGCCAGTACAAATCAAATGACACAGATGGCATTGGTCAGTGGTTATTGTTTGTGTCTCATCAGGTTTGTATAAACTGTTTAAAAAATATATATATAACCTGGACATTGGCTAGAATTTTTTTAAACAGTGGTCCTGGTATTGGTTTGAAATCTCACTGTGCATTCTTATTTATTGTAGTAGGTTTCCATCACTGCCTAGATTATGGTTTTCATTTATTTTACATGTGCAGGAAATCAAAATGGCACAAAGTTAAACGTCTGGGTGCTAAAGCTGCAGTGGTTAGGGTGAAAACATAAGTGAGAGAAAACCCCAAAACAATCATTTTTTCGAGCAAAAATGCCAAAACTTCCTAAAATAGGGTTATTTGCTGCATTTCATTTCTTTGTGTGTTAGGTAAGTGGGGTTTTTTCCTCTTCAATGTCAAATAGAATCACTTTACCTGAGCTGAGCAGTCAGTACTGAAAATAAGTTTTAGTTGTAGCCCCAAACAATATTTTTAACATGAAATTAAGGGCATAATTGTGTATCTAATGTAAAAAAAAAAAAAAAAAAAAAAAAAGACCAATCAGATTTCAATACTGTTTAAACAAACCTTAAAATATATTTAGACTAAAATACAAAGTAAGTGAACTTTTTGGTTTATTATTCCTCTGAATTTTCTCATCTGTGTCTGCAATGACACAATTTACTTTGTCCAGCATGTGCTGCACTCTGCACAGTGTATATCATTAGATCTTTTGACACTTTCACAACCTTTTCACTCAAGTGCAGCAAGTGTTTTTATACTGTCAGCACCATCTTGAAAAGTCTCCTTCCTTTCTTTTTTCCTTCTCACATTTGTCTTATTCTTTTAATCCCTTACCTCAGACTAATTCTGTGCACTCTGAATGATGATCATTTCAGTCAGTTTCTACTTTTTAAGTATAAAGCAGAAACAGCCACTATGTTTCAATTATTACTTTGACTCTTGTGAGCCACTTTTTTTGGGTAGGGGGTTGTTTTATTTTTAAGATAAATATCATGGGTACAGGAACCAAGTTACCACCAACCTTTTGCTTTTCACACACAGCGCTCTTCTTGTCTTTGTCTGTTCTATAATTGATTTTCATGAAAGAAAATTTAAAGCCGAGTTGCTGGTGATAGATCTTCTAGTAGTCTCGGATAAAGTCTTGCTCCAGATTCCATAAGTACCACATTTCCCCCTCGCTGTCTTGCTAAAGTTGATATTTTGTGTGGCTTGTTTTTGGGTTTTTTTTTTGTCATGTTAAAGTTTTCCTGGATTTCCTGTTTGAAAAAGGCTATTTATTTTTCTTTATGAAATAAAAAAGGCATTACTGAACATGCTGTGCATATCCAGTTTTTCTGTAAATATTTTGTAAGAAGTGTTTTTTTTCTTCTTCTTCTTTCTTTTACTCTTTCTGATGACAGAAATGTTTGCCGTGTCTTTTAAGTGCATCTGTGTAATAAAGATTGGAATCTGAGCAACAGTGGGCCTCTTGACTTAAATTTTATAATTTACAGAATTATTAAAGATTACTGCAGGAGTAGTCTGATGCATATCCTACTCTGCCTTTACCAGGTCTTTATCCAGTGCCATTGATCCCGGCATTACCTTCAGGCCTTGCATAGCTCTTACCTCAGAGGAGAGAGGCAGCATGTTCAACAGGAGATACTTGGCTGAAAAGTGCAAGAAGGTACAATTATGTGGAAACACGACAGCGTTTGTTTGTCAGTTACAAACATCATGATTTCAGTTCTTTATAAAAAACAGTTCAAATCCACAGTGTGAAGTGTGTATTATGCAATGCTTGCAGGAGAAAACTTCCCTCATTAACTCTTCTGTGCACGGCAAGGCTGTGCAGCACGTCAAAAGGAAACTTCAGTTTGTTCCAGTAAGCGGGTATGTGATCGCACCCAAATGGTTTTGTCTCAACAGTGAACGATCAAACGCAAAGAAAACTCATCTGCAACTTGAGTTTCCTTGTTTGTTTGGTTTTTTGCAGGAAACTGGACGCGCTCAGCAAGCTCAGCATACACAGTGAGATAAAAGCTGGCTTTTAAAGATGCACCTGGAAGATGCTGCCTGCTGTTAGCGCGTGTATGGATTGTTGAAAAACTATTATGGACCCAAGTGTTTATGTATTACAGTTGTTGTTGTTTTTTAAAGTATTTAGTAAGTATGTAAAGTTTTGGTAAGTTCTATAACAGTACTAAGGGCATTAAATTTTAATTTTGGATTAAATATGGATCCTGAACTCAGGGATACCTTGAGTATTTCAGCATTTATCTTAGCTGAATTCTTCTATTTTTTCTCGAATGCACAGTAAATTTGATTTGGGGTTATATTGTTTGAGGTACCATATATTTGTTCTTATCCTCATGATGCCACTGTTGTTTTTTGTTAGAAGTGGCGTCTATATTTACAAACATTTGTTTTATATTAACAGTTTTTCTTCTTACAACAAGCATTGGCTTATGTTCTTGAATACGTTTCATAGCTAAATGACACAAGAACGGTACTGCGTGTGACGCTCCAACTCTTTCAATAAAGTTGAGCCGAGAAAAGGTGGGTTAATGGGTATTGTAGTTTTTACACAAGCACATCACGACAAGCTTCTACTTTGCGGCATTCTGTGAACTACAGTTGCGCAGTCGCAGTTTGCTGACCTTCCATGGTTCTGCAAGCATGGCTGTCCGGGCACTTACGAGAGGTAACTGAAAACCGTTTACAGTTTTTTATTTAGAAAATAGTTCAAGGAAAATATTCAGAAGATTTAGAGCCAATCCAACATTTTACCTTGTGTTTATTTCTGCGTTTAGTTTTGAGTTTCGTGTACGCTACGCTACAGTTTAGCATGTTAGCCCACAGCTAAATGCTGTATTACAATTAATGGCAATAATTGAACGCCTGCGCTAGGTTATTGGCAAGCATTATTCGCTTCATGATAGTTAACTACCGATGTTTTAACTTTTTTTTTCCATATTTAGGCCTTTTAGGGTTCCGATACTCACGGGCTGCCACCGTAGCATCCCCCTGTGGTGGACATCACTATGTGACAGCACCGTCTGCGAAGCCACCTCAACCCCAGGCTGGCGATGTTACAGGTGAGCTAAATAACGCAAGGGCGTCAACACTTGGTTTTTGTTTTTTTCAAGAATTTTATTTATGTTACTACTTGTCATTTGTTGTTGTTGTTGTTTTTCCTTATTAACAGAAAAAATATTAAACCAGCCCCTCGAGAAAGCAGACTTTTTTCGTGTGGCTGAGCTTTTCTCCTTGAAAGACTTATTCGACGCCAGAGTGCATCTTGGTCACAAAAAAGGTTGCAGGCACAGGTTGGTGTGATATTTATCTCAGCGTTTTAGTGCGCTGCACCCCCGTATATTTACAAATTGTTTGTAGTCTGTAATTAAATAAGCTGGAGACACTTGTCTTTCTTTGTGGGTCAAGGCTTTATAACTTCTACCTTAGTGTTTGGGGGGGGTCGGGGTCCTGTGGGGTTTAGGTAGTGATGGCCAAATGAAGCTTTCTGAAGCACTGAAGCTTGTATTGAAAAACGGTTCATTACTCGAAGCTTTTCAACACAGTCCTGTTTGGTGACATCTGGTGGCCAAAAATACAAAGAGCAGCTTGAATCCACAAAATAAAACCAACTGCTTCATTACGATTGCCTACTCTACAGAGTGGAGTTTTGTCTGATATTGGGCCGCTGTTGTGTTGCTTTGAACGTGTATTTTTTTGGTGGTTAAAAAAATGTGTTTTATTTGTTTAATAAAACAATGTGCGATGGCCGAACCTGTTCCTTTTGGTGGAGATCATTTATCCTGCCTTAAGGAAAATCCCTTCACATGGCCCAGAGGAGGCTGGAGTGCAGAGAAACTGGTAGAGATGCAGTTTTACAGTCTACCTGGGCCCCACAAACTATCAGCTAAAGAGAATAAATAAATTCAATTGCTGCACATTTGGCAGACTAACATTTTCAGATTAATTAAACAATAAAATATATATTTTTACAACATTACATGTAAAGAGTCAAGTGGAAGTTTTTCTAAAGTTATTTAATGATATTTATATTATGGAGGCAGATTTTTGACATTTTATCTTTTTCCCATTTTCAGATATAATAAACACGCACAAAACAAAAGTAAACGGCCAGAACACAAAGCTGTAAAACCCACCCGATTGACAAAAATCAACTCAAAATTCTCCCACACAACAGAACCTCCTCTATTCCTCGCTGGCTCCAAATCTCTCAGTGGAATGATCAGTGGTTCGCTATCTGTCACCATCAAAACACTCCACAAATCCCGTGAATGATTCGCTTCCTTATAAACCATTGAATCAGATACCGAAGCAGTTAGGTTCTAAATGAAGCTTCGGACGTCACCGATCACGTGACTCTGGCCAAACGAATCAAGCTTCGATACAGTGCTTCTGAAGCAGTGTGTTGATTTTTTTGACACACGCACCGGAGCTTCAGCTTCAAGCGGGCCATCACTACGTTTAGGTATTCCCAACATGTGAAACTAATCTCACATGATAGAGGCGTGTTCAGTCACTACTTGGCACATGTTAGATTTTAGACCTTCTGTCTATTGCTTAGTCTGTCTGCATATTATGCAATGGCTGAATAAAGTATAACTTTTTTTATCTTGAACAGTGTCATTTGCCCAGAACTCCTAGTGGTAGTCTCCTGTGGATAAAAAGTGGGGAGTTATTAATAATAATAAAAAATGCCATAAATCTTCATGCTTTAAACCCCTCTTTATTAAATTGGAAGTTTCTGTTTGGTAACACTTCTGGTTATTAATGGTAACAGCAAGCATAAATACCACAGGTCCTAGAGCCTTGAAGGAAGAGATACAAACTTGTTGTTTTAATACAGATGGCATTTCTTTTAACTATTCCATAACTAACCTATTGTCATTAAATGCTTCTAACAGAAAGCTCCAGCAGCAGGAAATGTTTTGGTTACTTGGTCGATCATTTCATCAGGAATGTAGCTATTAGAGCTATGTTATTTTATTCAGCAGTAGTGATTCAAGTGACATTTTTCTGAATTATAATTCCGTGTTTCTAGGCTCATGGAGCCGTATCTCTACGGCTGTCGTTTGGATCATGACATTATCAATCTGGACCAGACTATGGAGCACCTTCAGCTAGCCCTCAACTTCACCGCCCACATAGCGTATCGCGGTGGCATCATCCTGTTTGTCAGCAGGCAGCGTCAGTTTGGCCATCTGGTAGAGACCACGGCCAAAGATTGTGGAGAGTATGCGCACACGCGGTACTGGCAGGGCGGCCTCCTCACCAACGCCAACATCCAGTACGGCCCAGGAGTCCGCCTACCGGATCTCATCATATTCCTTTCAACTCTCAACAACGTCTTTCAGCAGCACGTGGGCATCAGAGACGCAGCCAAGATGAACATTCCCACAGTGGGTGTGGTGGACTCAAACTGCAACCCCAGCCTGGTGACGTACCCCGTGCCCGGGAACGACGACACTCCAGCTGCCGTCGAGCTCTATTGTCGTTTGTTTAAGATGACCATCAACCGTGCCAAAGACAGAAGGAAACAGATGGAGCTCATTCATGGTCTGTCAGCGCCCACCTCGCAGATCTCATGATATTAATACTTAAATTTAAACAAAAAAACAAGAGACGTTGAAAAGCCTACATTCTTTAATCTGAAGCTCATCAACTGTGTAGTGTATCCTGTTTTATGTTGATACACTACAAATTTGAAATAAATTTTGGCTTCCTCCTTCCATTACACATCTGCACTTGGAAAACATCTGGTTTAACAGTCAGTAAAATATGGCTCAAAGTTAACATTGGTGCAAATTTATGTGAATATCACAGCTGTAAATCGCTGAAATAACAAAGTGGTGATCCATTGTTGAAATCCTGGCGTGGGAGAGTGATGATCATTTGCAGTTGCAGACTGAAAGAAAAGTATCTGAGTCATTTTCACAACTGTATTTGCTCTCTTGCGGTCTATGTAAGTGTTTAGGCCATGAAATGTGTTTCTGTAAACAAAAATACCTCTGCAGAAAGTCAGCCAAGTGATGCAGAACATAAGCAACCTATGAACTACACATGAACATTAATTAAAAGCAGTTTCTGAAAGTGTACACTGAAGTAATGCCTGTTCATCTAGTTAGGAATGAAACAAGCAGGATTAATACATATATACATACACTGGAGGGATGCAGCATCATTTAAAGAAGAGTATACATGGATATTGAATGAACTAATCTGAAGCCTTGAGTCTTTAATGTGTAGCTCATCAGCTGTATAGTGTATCCTATTTCATGTGACGTTTGCGGCAGTTGGTTAAGTTTAGTTTCTCCCAGCTTCCGTAGTTGTATCCTGTAGCGACCTTCTATGGCCACGAGGTGGATAAGTAGCTGTCACGTCAAAACGGTGAGTGGGTGTATGTGAGTGGGAAGAAGTTTATTAGCTTGCATTTTATGATGTACTACCACAACGGTCGACGTGTTCCTGCATATACAGTCATATTTCAGTTGTTCGGTTGTTTGTAACCGCGGTCCGCAGCAAGCAGTTTCAAGGTTTCAGGCTGACGCTCGCGAGCGCCGACATGTTTAACAAACCTGCAGACTGACTGTTGGAGACGTCAAGAGCAATCACAATAGCAAAGCTTATTTCCTTTCAAAGCCTTATTACTTATATCATTACTGCTGTTTAAAGTCGGTTATTTTTCTCGCACGCTGTGAAACACAAATCCTACACTCTAATACAACTTGCAGCCTTTATCCCAAATGCGTTCCACATTAATACTTTAAAGCTTAATTGCCATCGTTTGATTCTGCTAAGTAAGCATTATTTTGTTTGCTGAAGTAAGATTTTTAAGCTAATCGGGGTAAAATAAAATGAGTGTCTGAGATTCGAACTCATACGATATGTAGGGCTCGTCCTTTTGCAGCTGATGGCGGGCTTGTCGGTCTCACAATTCTTGTGAAACTGTAACTAGATGTATGGGTAACAGTAACATATTAAATAAGTTACTGTTTAAATAAATAATTTAAATAAGTTCCGCTTTTTTGTGTGTAAGTTCTTCCAGTCAACTTTTTGAAGGCGAGGCAAATGTTCACATGAATCTTACTAAGAGGAACGAAAACGTTAAGGCCACAGACAGAGGGGGCTGGTCAGGGTAAGTGTTTTTTTTATCAGGTTAGTATGATGGAGAAGAGTGGTAGGAGATAGGGATTTTAACACTAGCCCAGGCTTGTAATCTTCCTGTACATTAACGGTAAGTGACTAACATTTGTTAGTCAAGGAAGTTATGAAATGAACTAAAAAATTAATAAATAAATACTCACCAAAAATGTTTCAGCTAATTGTCATTTGAACGAATGACTTATTTCTTATTTGCAGATGTACCGTCCAGCTCTTGGAAAACAGATTTTAATGAAGCAACGAAAAACTTCCATTGGTATGTAAAAATATTTGCATCGCTGTGATTTTAAATGGAATAGTTTTGTGTGTTGTTTCATATTTGTTTTATGTATGTTGTGTCCAACTTAATTTTTTAACTGCTGTGATACAAGAATTTTGCAGATCTGGGATAAATGAAGCATATCTTATTTTATTTTATTTTTTTTTTGTTTATATAGATAAATATGAGGAGAGAAGAGGTGCCATTGCTTTACCTTCATGCAGATGAAGGCGGTTGAGCTGAAGTGAAGGCCGTTCACAGGATGGTAACAGGTTTTGTTAAAAAGCTTTTGACTCTTTATTGCCCCTTGAGACGCAACCCTGGCTCCAGTGCCTCTGTTGCGCAGTAAGTCGGCAGAAAGTAACGGGCTCTCGATAGCTCAAATCCACTCTTTCGTGGGCTTTGGGTATGGAACCGGGCCAGATACTTACTCTCAATCTACCATGAAGGTGTTGTGTTCCTGCCAGTCAGTAGTTGTGTGCTATTTAAATCAATTTAACAACTCTACCTTTCTAAAGCTTATTTTTTGTATACATGGTCTCATTATGGATACATTCAGTCAGATTTATAGCTGTGTATCTAACAAAGTGGCTACTTAGTATATAATGAATATATTTTGAATGTAACAAATGTATGTATGTAGTCCTCATTGTCCATAAATGACAAAGAGGACTACATGACAGTTTTTGGCATACAATTTTGAATTGCCTTTACAGTTAATTGGATTCAAATGTCAATGTGAATGTTTCCATTATATAGATGTCAAGGTTTGCACTTTAATGGTTCAGACACGCTTGTGGAGCAGCAGCGGCTTGGCTTCAGGAAGGTACGAATTAATACTTTTGCTCTCATTCAGTCTGCCCATTGAGGCATTGCTGTCCAACATTTCTTGACCCTGTGACATAGTGGGACTAGGAGTCCAAATGTCTGCATCATCTTAGGCTTCAGTCACACTGATAAACCCCCTGGGTAACCAACACGAAGCCGATCCAGCAATTTGAATTCTTTACATTTCAGGATACTGTTCTTTAACCCTCTGGGGTCGCCGGATGCGCTGGCGACCCCAGAGGGTTAATAAACGATAAGAATTATAGATATTGTGCTTGCAACACTGGAATTTCATAAATGAATGAATCGCTTGGCTTGCAAAAGTATGATGTCACAACAATGTGATTGGTCACTTGCAATGTTGAACCTGGAACAACATTTATTATGATGATGTGGGAACAACACCAACACGAGGATATCAGATCATCCAACCAGCACTAGTGAGGGAAATGTCTCTATTCTGTGAATAGTTGCTGGGTGAAATTTGCTTCAGTTGCTAGCAGGTTATGTCAGTTGCCAGTAGTTTGTTTGCGTGCAAGATGCCAACTTGTTTGCAAACACCTAGTACTCACTAAGCAGCAGTGAACTGTGAAAAGTGAAACAAACTAGAAACAGAAAACACTCACCTTCAAAGTAAAAGTGTGTTAGTGAAATGTGTCAGTTGCTGCAGTAAGGCACAGCTTTTACTTTGAAGGGGAATACTTTCTGTTTCTAGTTTGTGTTTCACTTGTCACAGTTTCCTTACTGCTCTTTGTGTCTTTCACAAAAACTACGGGTAGCCTATTGCTTTGGTAATTAGCCAAAACAGTCGCAAGGAGGGGTTTTTTGCACAACCCTCTTTGCAGCCAATTTCACTTAACAGCAACCAATAACCTCCAGCCACCAACCACCAAAGAGACAAACATTTTCCCTTTGTGAAGTACAACATACAGGTTTTTTGCAACCTGAGAAGTGATGAAATGCTTGTTGAAACTTGAAATGGACATAAACAAACTCCTACATGATTTGTCTTCGCAGGTGACTACCCAGTGTGCCTCAGGGTTGGAGACGATGTTATTTCCAGGAGCTCTAACGATTCCTCACCACCTGACTCCTCCATTCAGCTTGCTCTCTCTTCATTTCTTGATTTCCTGTTCGAGCATTTCATCCGCCTTACTTCCATTAGTTTGTTTTTCTTTTGCTTAACTGTTGAAGACATTGTTTTTTCAGTTGTATTTTTCATTTTGATTACGTGCATATGAAGCGTAATGTCCTCGTTGCGCGTAATCACATATGAAAGATTACTTTGGCAATTGCATTTGTGGTGAGTGCTATATCAGCTTTTCCCACAATCAAATCACTCTGATGATCATATGATAAAGGCAAGTGTTTGTGTGTGTCGATCCATTCCCTAGGAAATGATGATTTCCTTTCCTGTTTGCTCACATTTACAAACGGAAAATATGTAATGGGAGCTTTTACTTGACTACTTAGCTGGTGTAGAATTTGACATGCATGAAACAGAAAATGTAATAAAATAAATTGACATGAAATAAAATTATTTTCCTGAAAGTTGTAAAATGTCTGTTTTAAAAACAATATAGCTTAATAGGGAAGAGCAAAACAAACAAAGTTCAAAGAATTACTGATGAAAAGACTTAATTAGAGAGGTATGTAAAAATTAGGAGCACTAGCAAAAGACTGCAAAATTAAATAGAATTCATTGTAGTAAAAAACAAGGAAAGCAAATGTCATCATGCATTGAAGTGGCTCAGTGTGAAGTGTAGCACACGGGGCAAAAATGACTGCACACAGACTAATGTGGGATCAGTGCTGAACTTGAGGCAAGATCAGAAAGGTTTTGCGTTATGTAGGAAAGATTGCCTGCTCTTTGTTCAGTTATGTTATGGTTCGGCAGCAAATGTCATTTCCCCACCTCTGAGAGTTGCTTCCACTGTTTTTTCACCCAGACCACACTTAGATGATCCACCTGTTCTTCTGGCAGGTAGTGATTTTAGCACTTTAGCTCTACCCACTGCAAAGAAATCAATTCTTTTGACTTTGGTTTTCTTTGAGGAGGTTTCACTACAAGTTCTGGATTCATGCAGCACAAAAAGCGACAAGTGGATCCATGCCATGCCCTCCACAATATGAAAGAGTCATTGAATCCCCTCAGTAGATGTGAGCCAAGCAATCCAAATAACGATAGTGCCGATACCAACACCGTTATTGGTTTTGGATCAAGCCTAGCATGAATGGATCGAATCTTTGTTTCTATCATCTTATCCCTTCGGCAGGAAATCTATGCCATGACTTGTGATGTACGCATAAACTCATTTTAACCCTACGAGGTAACCTGACACGCACCTCCAAAAATGCAAAATGCAGTATGGACAGCACTATCCCTTCTCGGGGCTTTCCTTCAATTTGTCAGCCGCAGGTTGCAAGGAAGGAGGCGCGGTAAGATTTCCCGTCGGCAGATAAAATCCCGTCAGCTCTGACGCCTCTCCCTTTAAGATGCGCAACAGCGAGTCTCTGGGAAACTGAGGCTGTGCGCTCGTCGGGTCCAAGCAGCGCTTATTTCTTTGTCACACTGATGCCTTCTTTGATCTGATTGGACGGTGAAGGTGCTGCTGGTCTAATATTCGGAAAATATCGGGGATCATAGCTGAGGATCTCTGATTCTGGGCCGCGTCGGTCGTTCTGTGGCCCCGATGGAGCTGAAATATCGCTCAGCTTCAAGGACACACTCTTCATCATATTTTTTGAGCGGCTGAATGATTTCTATTGAAAACACACGCTGTGATCAAGGCAAGCAAAGAGAAGAAAACAGCTCGAAAAGCAGCTCGTTGTAATAACCAGTAAATATGCGACGCGTATCGTGGTTTGCTGCGAGAATGTGATCAGACGGGACTCTGGTTTCTCGCTCTGCTGCCTCCGAAAAAGAGTCGCTCATGATGCCCCGGGCTTTGCGGAGACTGGTCCATTTGATGCTGTTCTGCCCTTTATCCAAAGGCCTGCAGGTAGGCTAATGGACTGCACAATGTCAGTCTTTTTGTCACTAACTATCCACCAGCAGCATGCACGACCACTGACCAAACCGTCAGTTCACTTCACATGCATGCATGAAACCCCCCGTAACGAATACAAGTGCAGCGCAATGTATGGTAGTTATCTCTGCGTTATCCTATAGTCAGGTGACAGGCTGCTGGTTCATTCATTGTTTACCTAGATACCCCAGAATTTTGCAGCCACGGGTTCACAGGTTTGCAGTGCATACACGACTGTAAAAGCATGATTTAATAACAGTACAAGTTGGATCATAAACATTCTGCTTATGCTAATTCTGCTTAGTACTACACTTTTGTGTAGCATTACATTTTGTGTTAATGCATGTGATGCCCGCTCTTCCCGCAGCTATCCTATTGCAGAGGATTCAAATCAGTGGTTCCCAGCTGCTGTTTGTAGCCCATTATACAAAAATCAGTAAATAGAGATGCACAAATAGTGATAAGTCTAGGCTGATGTTGATATTTAAAAGAAGAATTTAACTCATGGTTCTGATACAGTTTATTGCTGTTTATTTTCTTATTTATCCTCCCTTTTCTCCCAGACATTTCCATCTTCTATTTCGGACATTAGACAGAGATGTGACAACAAACACACAAACATCAGTCTAAATGTCATCTTATTTATCAGTCTAAAAAATACCAGTGATTGGCTGTATACTGGTACATCTCTAGATCTACAATAGGAAGTCTCTTCTATTCTAATTTACTTGTTTCTTTTAGGAGTGGAAACTATTCAGTATTTACAGAAAATCAAAGAGAGAAGTATCAATTACTAAACTATTTCCTATGCCGGTGCTATGAAGAAGTATTTGCCCTTGGTTCTTGTTTTTTTTTTTTTTTTTTTTTTTTGCATATTTCTCAGACTTAAGTGTTTTAGATCCATCAACAGTTTTTAATTTTAGGCAAAGATAACCCAAGTAAATACAAAATGCAGTTTTTTAAATGATGATTTTATTCATTAAGGTAAAAAATGACTATATTTAGATGCTACAATCTAAAGAAACAACAACAGGTGAGGAACAAAGTCAAAGCTTTGAGGAAAGCATTGTAAAGCTATTTCTAAGGCTTTGGGACTTGTGTCCAGCCTACCAAAATTACTCCAAGAACACATCAGCGACTCATCCAGGAGGTCACAAAAGAATACAGACCAGCAAAAACAGAACTGCAGGCCTCACTTAACTCAGTTAAGGTCAAAGTTCTTGATTCGACAATCAGAGATTGAGGAAAAATGGCGTCCGTTGGTGAGTTCCAAGGAGATAAATATTCAAACATGGTGGTGGTAGTGTGATGGTCTGGGGCTGCTCCAGGACTTGGACGACTTTCTATAAGTGATGGAATCATAAATTCTACTCTCGGCCAGAAAATCCTGAAGGAGAATTTCCAGCCATTGGTTCGTGCCTTGAAGCTTAAGAGCACCTGTGAAAGGCTCAAAAAGAAAAAAGAAAAAAATGTAGCTTTGGAGTTGCCTTGTTAAAGTCAAAATTGAGAAACTTTGACCTTCAACAAGCTATTCATGTTCAAAGACTCTCAAATGTGGCTGAATTAAAACAATTCTTCAGTTTTCTCCACAGTGACGTGCTGTGAAATAATCATTGCCAGTTATGGCAAACGCCTGATTGCAGTTCTTTCTGCCAAGGGTGAAACAGCCAGTTATTAGTTTTAAGGGGTAATTGCTTTCTCGCACAGATCCAGGGAGGCTTGGACAGTATTTTTCTCTTAACAATTGAAATCCACATTTAAAAACTGCATTTTGTATTTCCTCGGTTTGTCTTTGTCTAATATTAGAAATTGTTTAATGATCTGAAACATGCAAGTGTGACAAATCTGCAAATATAAATGTGCAAAATACAAAAAATCAGGAAGTCCTTAGTTTCATGTAGTTGAGTGTCTCAATTCCACCTTAAGGTTGGGTGACCAGCTGTTCATTCATTCATTCACAGCCTGGGTTTAATTAGACTTCTTTTCTTCCTGCCATGCGCCCATTTTCTACCAACCTCCACAGAGTCGCCTTCCAGCTATTAAAGTGAAGTACCTTCTGCTGGCATGGCTGGGCATCCTCGTCATCAGCTGGATCGTCTACATGCAGTATGCCTCCTACTCTGAGCTGTGCCGTGGGCATGTTTGCCACATGGTCATCGTAAGTATTATCTTTGAGTTAAATAAAACTCAGTTACATGGTTTAATCGAATTCAAGCCTATAAATCAAGATAAATTTGATAGTGTGGGATATCTGTGAATGTGGCATAAAAATACTGACTGTGGCAGTGAGTAAAGTCCTAACCACAGATTACAGGCTTTCCAAACTACTGCACGACAATAAAGGTAGCTTTCAGGGTAACCAAGACAAAAACTACAATCACATTAATTCAAATCATAACACAATCACTGGAAAGAGCAGATCTTTTGCTTTTCCCAAGACAAAAACTAAAGAATTCAGAATAAAAACAACAGTATAAATAATAATTTCATAGGTTTTAAAAAGTACATGGCAAGACAGTGGAACAGAGGGACACGAGGTCTGTGTTTTGAGGAAGAGTGCATGGCCAGTGTCTTAAACTTGTGGTACCAGGGTGCTCTTACAGGACACAACCCCACTACCCACCTGTAGGATTGTAACATCAGTTTAGCTGTTTGGTCTTAGCTCATTTGACTACAGTTTCACTAACCACATAACAGACAACATGTGACTGTTTGTATTTACATAAATGAAGAAAATGATTTCATACCATACTAGTTTTGTGCTGCTGAGGTGAGACCCACAGATGTCTAGTTCCCCTCTGTTGCGTTCTGTGTTGGGGACTTGGGAGAAATGTGTCTCCTCGGTCAGGTGATGTCAGGTAAACTGCACATGGTGCTGGGCTCTTTGCTGCTTTGTGACAACATACTGAATATAACTCAGTGGGTTACTCCATTCTGATGAATTTCATGCACACCACTTTACATGAGTAAGTATAGCATCCTTCTAGGAAAGAAGTAAAACTGGCACTCTCTGATTCCATATCCATGAAAAATCTCAAAGGACATAGCTGGAAATGGGATTTTTTTCTTTCTTGTCTGCTAATTATAAAAGGTACAAAACTTCATAGTCAGCATGCAATTTTTAAACTAATGTAGCAGTTTAAGATAAACTTAAGACTCATTTACTGGTCGTCAAGATCAATGTTTCTTTAGTCCAATACACCTCTGGTATGTGGATGGGAAAAGCCAGGAATTCCACTGAGATTGCTAACTAACCACCTGAACCCAAGTCACATGTCCTAGTGTTTTTCCTGGTGTCAGGTCCATATTTAGAGACACAGACCCAGCCTCAGGAGGTCACAAGTTATTGTATTCCCAGCGTCGGTCCCAAGCTTGGATAAATGGGCGGTTTGCATCAGGAAGGGTAAGCGAAACCACCCAGTGTAACTGAAAGAAGCTTCATATTTCTCGATGAGCCTTTCTTTTTTTTCTGTAAACATACCTGTTGAAATCGTGCATTCTCTCTGATTCATTAATCCATAA